ATTAATCTTATTCAGGAGCCATATATGGGGCGTCGGGGCTGCATGTAACGGAGTCGCCAAATTTGTTTTGGCTGCCATTACCTCTCAGATTCCTCTGTTACTTGAAAACTAATCCCTATTGTCTATGGCTGTCGAGAATGCTTCTATCTTTGTCTTTCGGCGTTCGACTGACATAGATGGACCTAAAAGAAAAACATTTGAAATAGGCAATTTGCATTAAAATCATTCTATTATTTCAATTTCCCCTGCACGAGTGAATTTATTTTCGTGTACCAGTAGAGCTCTAATACAGGAGTCTACATCAATTGTATAAGCGTATTGGGGAAGGAGAGTAAATAATATTAGCATTCTCTTTGGAAATTCTCAAAAATTTCCTAGTTTTGAGAAATGTCATGCAATCATCGAGGAAAGAATAGCCCTCCTCAAATCCCCACCTTCTAGGCCCTTTGAACAGGGCATTGAGGGTTTCAACAGTCGAGTGTTATAAACTAAGAGCAATCAGATGGTGGGGCTCAATGGAAGCCTTGTGAGAAGTTTATACCAAAAGCGTGAGCAACCAAATTCAAGATAACAAACTATGAAATGAAATGTTAAAAGATCAAAATTTCAGCTTCAAGAGCAAATTAAAGAATACAGGTAACTTTAAAAAACTGCATAATAACCAAATGAAGGCAGATATATTCATGAGTCCACTTTTACAAAGGTACAAGAGCAATTATTTTAACTACTACACCAATGATTTTATATCTGTTGGCCAGACAGGGTCAGAGCAGATATAAGTTATTCCAAGCTGAAGCAGAAGCAGAAGCAAAAGCAAGGAGGGAACAGTAAGAAACAAGAGCAGAGAACTTGGGAAAGCACATACCAGAAACGTCCTGCATCTAGTTTACAACATGCTATCTGTCCTTGAAGGCAGACGGCCGAAGAAGTTAATTGGCACTGGTGGCAACCTGTGTCGGAATCTTGGATGCCTCATTGCATAGAACCCTGCCAGAGCAGCTATAATCTGAAATGGTGTCACAAACAATACCATGGCAGCAATAAGGCAGAATATAACAAAGATAGCAGTAGCACGAGGGTCTCGCCAGCTTAATAGAGCTTGAAACCGCTCCCCTTGTGTTGCCACATCACCAATCACAGTCTGAATTCTACCAGCCACACTCCTAAGCCGATCATACCTCATTCTTACAAGCTCAGAATTCTTGCTTGTTGGGAATGTATCAAATTCCTCATCAAGTTCGTCTGGATGCACTGCCTCAGCTTGTGAAATCTTTGTGTTCATGTGGGGAGGGTACCTTGGTCTATAGCGGTAGTTCCACACCCCTATTAGAAACATGTAAAGGAAAATTGTGGGCAAAATCAGCTCTGGGAGGCAAGCAAGCATTAGAAAGAGCACCTGCACGAGAACCGTTGTAATAGGATTCTTCCACATGCTGATGTCTACAAACCACTTGCCAACAGCAAATAATCCAGAGAAAACTGACATTAGCCGGAAGAAATTTGCTTTGCTCTTCCGCATGCTCCAAAGGTGTGAATCAACATCAGACAGGTATTCAACCACCTCCTTTCGAAGGGGAGGCTCTGCTCGAGCTAAACGTGCTGCCACCATATTGACAGCTTGGTGGCGTAGCATGTCGAGCTGCATGACAGAGAAGGGCCTTGCATAATGCATTTTTGGTAGTAGTGGTTTTGAGTATTGATAAAGCATATTTGCAAAGGAAGTGCATGTAAATCTTATTGCCAGATGCAACTCCCCCATCTTCTTAACTCCAGTAGGATGAAGAACCAAGAGCGGGTATGAGTGGGTATAAACACGGCCTGCTTCTAATGTAGAGATGCGAATCCTAACCTTCCCAATCTTCAGGTCCTTGTTTCCATTTGAACCCTTCTCCCCAAGTTGACTGTTGTCAAATACACCTATAGTTAGAACAGTGGCCGGATCAAAAACCTCCCAAGTGTATTGCTCATTGTATTTTGGGGATAAGTTATCAACAATGGTGCGTGTACGAACCCATTTCTGACCATACTTTGCCACACAATATGTATCAGATGTTCCCCTTCCTTCTCGTGTTTTCATAGGATGAAGACCTACAGCATTTAAGATGCCAAGTTCCAAGATCCCAACTGGTGGCCTCCAAAGTTGCTTTGCTGTGGGGCGAAGATCGCTGCTGTAGTGAGTAGATTCATCTAGCACATGATATCCTCCATCTAAACAGACTCGAAGATGGAGGCGGCTAGCAAACTTCTCTCTCTTCAACTGATCAATATCCACAGCAACAGGTTTTTCCAGGTTGAACCATCGAGAATGGATTATTCGATCATCAGCCCGCCTTTGTATAGCGTGCAATGGTAAGATGACCCTCCCAATGATCTCGTCTTTTCCAGGTGCCACACGATCTTCAACTGACAGGATCAGAGGTTCTTCAAAGGGTTCAGCAGCAACAAACAAAAGATCCTCATTCCACAGAGCATTCAGAGTTCGAGCTTGGCATGTTTTTGTTTTCAGAACCTGGTTTGCAAGTTGTGCCTTAACATACACATCAGGGAAATGGTTCTTCTCTGCTGGAATGAGGTCTTGTGCCTCAACAACATTAACGCGTACATACCATAGTCTTGGTGAATGATAGACCTTCGAACGTAGAGATATGGATGTAACTGGTGTGCTATCAACAATTGTAGCTGCATCAGAATGCCATGCATCAGAAAAAGCCTCGTCTGCCTGGGTTCCAATCCAGACTGCAAGCATCAACTCCCCCTTTACCCTCTCTCCCTTTTTATCCTCAAGCCTGTACCACTGCGGTGCCAGAGGACTGTCAGGGGGCACACGCAATGGGACCTCATTGATGTCAAACCTTACAATGCCCACAAAGTCATCTATAAGCAGGTCCTTGTCCTTAATTACAACTTCTAGTACAGAAGCTTGCATTCGTTCCCTGGAAAATGCAAACACTTGGTTCCACTCTGGATTTTGCCTTTTATCAAAGTGCTGTGTAATGCCTCTGTAGTTTCCAATTCTTACCTCTACAAATGGATCAAGACTCCCTGTAACATCCATTGCAGGAAGATCACGAGCCTTAACAACCCTTACATAAAGAAAATGCATCCGTTCGACAAGATTATAAGTACTTGCCGTCTTGTCTGCATGGAGAACTCGACCCCCAACAACTCTTCCCCCACCAAGAGAAGGACTTGTTTCTTTAAGGGCATAATCCACAGGTTGAGAAGATGCTTCAGAATACACACGAACTAGCTTTGGTGGTGGTGGTTCAGGCTTCATCTCATCAGCAATATGGTTTGGTATGTGATGATGATGAACCTCTGGAGCCGGTGAATGATGGTGATGCTGACGTGAATTTGGATTTGGAAGATGGTGAAAGGTATGCCTTGATTCAACTCTGCCATTAGCTGTATGGTTGTCTACATGAGTTAAATTGGGATCCTTGCTTGACAAAGATTCAACAGAAGCAGCTGCTGTTGAAGACTTTATGGAGGCACCATCTATGATATAAACTTTTAAGCCAAGCTCTCCTCTCACACTAGAGAAAATACCACGCTTTTCCAAAGGATAGTGCAAGACAACAGCATCAGAGTAGGGAACAAATGAGGTTCCAGTGAGAGAAACCTTTCCAAGAAAAGATCTGGTGTTAGTAGCTCTGACATTATTGTAGACATATACATCGAGAGTGAGATAATGGATGTTAGAATGATCAGAGATGTTGAAGTAAAAACTCTCATTCCAAACAGGATTAAGATCCTTTTCTTTGATGGTCGTACGGAATTTCTGTCCATCAAAGTAGAGCTCCACAAAAGCACTGGACGAACCTAGCCCATCTTTGGGTAACAGATTGTGGGCACTAACCACATCCACCCCCAGCTTAAGGTTGTTGTTCATTCTGATCCGCAAACAAGCGAGCTTGTTAATGGGAATGTTAAAACCAGGACCAAAAGGACAGTTAAAGGTACCTGCAATAGAAAGCAAACAAACGTTTGTTCAGCATCGGATAACAAACATTAATGATCTAACAGAGAGATATATACATGCAGCACAAGGATAAAACTAAATTAGGTAATTGCACAATTGCATCAGAAAACAACTCTGCTATCTAATAGAGACAAAAATGCAGATTTTCATTTTTCCAATAAGAAACTATGTTGGATACAAATACTTACCTTTCTCAGTATAAAATCTCAAGAAAAACTTCCATGAATATTGTCCTATCAGATTTGAAGCTTTATGAGATTAGTAATAGCAAAATTCAGCTTTAATATTTGGATTCACTTGAACTAGAAGATTTTTATGAATCAATTTGAGAAAGCAAGCAGGTCAACACTTCTCTTAATTAGGTGCATGTGCATTAAGACCTCAAAAAAGATCTATATATAAATTAAAAGGAAAAAAATGTAGTATACCATTTACACATGCCTCTGCACTCTTTAAGCTGAAGATCCATAAAGCATGCTTGCCACTTGCTAAGCGTGACTTTGCACAAGATATACGTTACAAAAACTAAGATCCAAAACAGTGTCTTCATCTCACAGAAAAGGTAGTAATCCAGTAAAGGAACAAAAAGAGAAGAATTAATTCTTTGATCTCCTGAAATTTCGGATCTCTGATAATTTTCTTGGCAACCAAACAGAAGTTAAATAAAAACTCATTACTGAAACAATTAATGAAACCGTTAAAGAGGAAACAAAATAATTGAAATTAACTCAGCAGAATTCAATCCTTTTTCTAACTAGTATTTCACAGCTACAAATCTCCAAATATATTTTTTCCTCAAAAACTCGTTTGAATCCATAATGCATTTCGAAAATGAACAGTTTAAAGATTCAGACTGATCGACTCTCTGGATTTTTCAAGAATTCGAAATTTCTTAAGAAAAGTAAAGAGAAGGAGGCGGCGAGAATGAGAATTCACCTCGTTTGAGGTAAAAGTCGTTCAGATTTCCGCCGTTGCTGCGGCGGACCTCGCCGTAAATGGCATTGCCGATGCATTGAAGTCTCTGACAAAGAGAAAGAAAGGGTGGGCAGAAGGAACGACGATAGGGACGACAACAAGTCTGCCATTGGAGGGGATCACAGCAGGACGGTTTTGTTGTGACCTGACCGCGCAAAATAAGATCGTTTTCGTTTCTGATTCGTTTCTCCGACTGAGAGCAGTTACAGCATGAGGACTAGAAAATGGGCCGGGCCGATTGCGGAAGGTTTTTTTAGGGGAATTGGGACAAGGCCCAATGGTGTTTTTTTTTTCTTTTCCAAACTAATAAAATAAAAATAAACTTGGGCCGGGAGGACTTGGGCTTGGGATCAGGGTGTCTTGCCCACATAGCATTTCAACTTTCAAGCGGCTTACCGTGCCACCCGTTTGTCATGTTGGGGTCTAGGCTAAGAACGAGCCAAGATGAGCCGGTGCTCGAACCGAAGCTTGTCTCATGCTTATCTCTCGTACTTATCAAGGCATTGAGCTCATGTAATATGAGTATATTTTCGAAGTAAACAACCTAGGAATGTTAGAAGTCGAAACTTCTAGATCTCACTTCATTTTGAGAGTCTATTGATTTTAGGTTAGGTATATTAAGAACATAATTATTTGATTTATACTTGTAAAATATTCATTTCATTAATCACTTCGTATTTCGATTATTACTTTAAAAAAATCACATAAATATTATTTCAAAATCTATAAATACCTCTTGATGATCCTTCTCAAAGGTACTTCTTCTCAACCTAAAGCTTTTCTTTTATTTATTTTGAATTAAAAATAAATTATTATTATTTAAATATCAACGTAATTAATTCAAAATTTACCCTTGAAGTTTTACAAGTCAATTGTACTAATAAATTTTAGTAGAAAGAATTAATTTATTTTATGCAATTACAACTTAACACATATGTAATTCATTTTTTAAGGTTATCAAATTACCCATGAGTTTGTATCGAATTCAATATTGACTTCGAACTCAATAAATTCAGCTAACCTAAAAATCAAGTGAACGAAGCCCAAGACTAACATGAAACTTGAGTACAAT